CCCGGCGTCTTCCGTGGGGACAAGTGGAGCTGCTGCCTCCAGAAGGAGAGGACAGGTACCGGGTGAGGGGAGCAAGGACATCTGGGACCCCCGCAAGACTGCTGGTGTGGGTCTCCCCCTCCGTGACAGGGATGTCACCCCGCAGGGCCAGGGTGTGACCGGACCCGGCGCGGCGTCACCCTGCAAGGCTGGAACGACCCCATGGACCCAGCGGCAGAGGCCCAGCGCTTGTTCCACCACCTCCAGAGCCTCCGGGGGACCCTCAGGTGAGCCCCTGCCCCGGGGGAACCTCCCCACAACCCCCTCTCCATCCTCCTGCCACGGGTCCCTCTTGTCCCTTGTGAGGGAAAAGTACTGGGAGCTGCTGGAGTCGGAGAACACCCTAAAAGACCCCCAGGGTGAAGGTAGGTTTGGAGGGCTGAGGGAGGATTTTTGGGAGCCCAGTTGGGATGCTCCCCTTGGGACATGTCCCTGGGGGTCAGGAGGGGTGCAATGGTGTCCCTGGGACGTGTGGGGTCTCACTGCTGCTCCTCACCCTCCCTCCCTCCAGCAGATCCCCCCCTGCCCGAGGGGCTGAGCCGGCTCTTCGGGGTGCTGGGGGACCTGGAGAGCTGCCACCGCCTGGCGCAGCCCCCAGGCCCTCCAACCCCTGCCCTGCTGCAGCCTCACACATGAGGGGCCTGGAGCCCCCCCTCCTCTGCCACCGGGGGTCCCCATGCCTCAGGGACCATGGTGGTAGCAATAAAAACTTTGTACCCTGCAGCCTGTCCAGTCCCTCTCTGGTGGGGATGCTACTGGCTACGAGCCAGGCACCGGTGGCTCCGGGTGGGGGCAGCGCTGGGTGACAGCTCTGCTGGTAGGGCTGGTCATGGTGGCACTGGTGACATCACTGATGGCTTTCCTGGTGCCTTTTCTGGTGACTTTGCTGGTGGCAGCACTGGTGGTACTACTGATGGTGGCACTGGTGACGTTGCTGATGGCCCTCTTGGTGCCATTGCCGTTGGCCCGGCTGGTGGCACTGGTGCTGTCACTGGTGGCTCTGCTGGTGGCAGCACTGGTGACATTGCCAATGGCACTGATGGTGCCATTTCTGGTTGTGGTGGTGGTGGCATCACGCTGGGGGTTCTGCTGGGGGGACGTGTTCCTGATGCTGTTGGTGCTCCTCATGGCATCACTGATGACGTTACTGGTGGAACCACTGACGACTTTGTTGCTGATTGTCGTGGTTCGAGCCGACTGAGACAAAAAAACCACGTGGTCTCCAGCTCACTGATCCCCCCAACCCCATTTCCAGCCGTGTGGAGGGAGATAATTCAGCTAAAAAGGCTCAAGGGTTTGAGGTCAAGCCTAGGGAGGGTAATAATCCACCGTTTAAGATGATGAGTAAAGAGCCAGAGCGACCTGGGGAGACAAACATGGATTTAATTCACTGCCACCAATTACAAAGTGGGATAGTGACAGGAATACATCAATAAATACGACCCAATCTTAAATACACTTTGCCCTCACCCCTCCCATCTTCCCAGCTACCTCCGCGACCTCCACGCCTCCATCAGTGCAAGGAGGGCAGGGGGTAGGGGATGGGGTCCCTCTGGCCATTACTCATTGTCCAGGGCAGCTCCTCCTTGAATGAGAGGGCTCCTCGCAGTCTCTCCCTCCCGGCGTGTGGTGCCCACCTCACCGGAGGCAATCCTCTTCCTCCTCGGGGCCACGGATGGCTTCAGGCACCTTCCCCGCTGATGCTCGGGCTCTCTCCCCTCTTGCCGGGGGCTCTGCACGTACCGCTGCATCCTGGACATTCTCACTGCCGTCAATTCTGTTGCAGTTTTCAAAGGGAATTTAATGAAAATGGTGATTAGCTATTCATTAAGCAATTAGCTCCTTAAAACTTAAGTTTGATTACAACAATTCTGTCAACTGTCAAGCAATCGCCTTCCTGCCATCCCAACCACCACGGGCCTCAGGGAAAGGTCCTGCTCCAGCAGCCTTCTCCCTCTCCTTCTTCTCTGGGACTCTTCTCCCTCTTTCATCTCAGGGTGACGTTCCTTTGTTCTCCTCTTACCTCCCCCTACTCCAGTAGAAAAACTCCTCGACATTAAAGACAGGGCAGCTCAACACAAGGTAAAACCAAGATACAACAATGGGGTCACCTCTTAAATACGTTGGCCTGACCCTGGCCAGAGGCAGGTCTGACTCCTGCCTGGGGGTGAGGGAGGCTCTCAAATCTTCACACGAGTCTACCCCTCCTTTTACAACAAAACCCCACCAGATTCAAACCCATGACACTGATTCCCACTGATGGTCAAAGCTGTCAGCAGTTAGTGGCCGGCCTGGCCCTAACCCTTGACACACGTGGTGACATCACTGGGATCCCCGACACAAGACTCCCATATTCAAAAAAGAGAGAAAAGGAACACCCGGGGAACAGATCACCCAGTCTCACCTCAGTGCCTGGCAGGATAATGGGTCAGATCCTCCTGAAGGCTCTGCCAGGGCACATGGAAAACAAGGAGGTGGTTGGTGGCAACCAGCATGGCGTCACCATGGGCAAATCCTGCCTGACAAATCTGGTGGCATTTTATGGTGGGGTTACAGCGCTGGTGGATGAAGGAAGAGCAACTGACGTCATGTTCCTGGGCTTGTGCAAAAGGTTCTTCAACGTCCCACGTGACATCCTTGTCTCTGAATTGGAAAGACACTGGTTCCAGGGCTGGACCACTCAGTGGGTAAGGAATTGGCTGGATGCCCGCTCTCCAAGAGTTGTGACAGATGTCTTGATGTCCAAGTGGAGACCCGTGACGAGGGGTGTCCTCAGGGGTCGATCCTGGGACCAAAGCTGTTTAGCGTCTTTGTCAGCGACATGGACAGTGGGATGGAGGGCTCCCTCAGCAAATGTGCCGATGACATTGAGCTGTGCGGTGGAAGGGATGTCCTCCAGAGGGACCTGGACA